TCTCTCTCTCTCTCTCTCTCTCTCTCTCTCTCTCTCGCTCGCTCGCTCGCTCGCTCGCCTGCAGTTGTGACGTTTCGGTCGTGGTGCCATGTTTTCCTATTTCTAGTTTCTGCTTTTTGTCCCCTAATTCATCATCTCTCTCTCCCTCTCTCTCTCACACACGCGCGCATACTAAAAGCTTATGAACATTTTTATTCATAGCTTACTGAGTTCTGTATACGTGCTCGGCTTACGCATTTTTTAATACGCCTGTATGAACAAATTTCTTCATACCGGCGTATTTAAAAATTCGTAAGCGGGTGTTTCAAAAAAGACACAGGTGCGGGCGGGTTTGCCTACCCAAGGGGATATATAACGCCCTACGGGCAGAGCGGGTAGGCAAACCCGCCCACACCTTTGTCTTTTATGAAACACGCGGTACGCGGCACACAGAACTTAGTAAGCTATGAATAAAAATGTTCATAAGCTTTTTGTGTGCGCGCCCTCTTGCAGACAACTCACAAAAAGCTTAATATAACGTAAAATTTACATCAATGATCCAATCCAAAAACCACAAAGACCCTATTGAAATGCCATGGATTGAGTGGAGGAAGCTGCCGTAGATATACTCGTGGCGTGGGATAGCAAGGCCGCCACATCCATGGAGGTCCCTATTGAATTTTAAACTGGGACGGGAATTGACCATTTCACCCCGCGGCCACACTGGCGGTCTTCCGGTTGGTACAAAGACCTTTACGATCTAGTAAGGACTAGAATATTTCATTAGATGTGACCCCTGATCGTTGCTTAGTTGTCAGAGAGCTCGAATTTGCGTCGAAAACCACAAAACACATATTAGGCCGCCTCCGAGGGCCACAAACAGATGTTGTACCAACCAGAAGACCGCCAGTGCGGCCACCGAGTGAAATGGTCAATTGCAAAAAAAATAAATGAATCGCATCCAGAAACTATCGCAGTTCTTGGCTGATAAGTTTTTGCATACATGAAGGCCTATTTTTAAAGCGTCATTACTTCTTCTTCAAAGTATTAGTACATTGGGCATTATTTAAACCGTCAAAAATAGTGAATTGATTTAGTTTAAGCTCCCCTTTGCTGTGTCTTCCTGCTGCTTTCAGCCTCCCTTGTCCGCCCAGTCCAGTGTTCTCATCGTCTTGCTGGGCACGTTGTGGTGTGTTTGGTCTTGGGAGAAGGGGAAGTAGTAGAGAAAGATGGTGGGAG